AGGTGTATGTTTATCAGTTCAGGAACAAGTGCATGAATTCACCATAGGAAAGGCAGTGTGCATATATTCATGTACAGTATAATGTATGCAAATTCTGTTTACTAATTTGAGATCCTCTTTTCTCTGTGTACCTATAATGCAATATTGATATACTTTCCCCTGCACGTAAAATAATTATTTTATGAACAATGCTTTAGTGAAACTGTCAGTTTTCCTGGTTTTAGCTCATCCTGAAAAACATTTAAAACATGCTTCCATCACTTGATTCTGGTTGTGAGGATTTACAAATGTTAGTTAAAGCAACTTGTTAACATTGTTATAGTTTATGGAAAAACACTGCATATACAGTTTATGTATTACAAGCTTTGTCAGTGGCTGCTGAATGATATAGCAGAAAAAATTGTGACCCATGGTTTCAAAGAGAAAATATCCACCCAACCTCAGGATGCTTTGAATAAAATGGTTTCACTAAGGTTCTGAGCATGTTATCACAGTTTTGAGGAATGCTAGTGTTTATTTTGTAGTCAAATAAATAGTGTGTTAATATGCACAGCTACAGATGCCGGCTGCAGCAAGCCATCTATAGCCGGGATGCTGCTGAGAATAGCTAAGCTACCTCTGTGGGGCTGCCCGGGGCTGTGCAGAGAGTAGCAGAAAGTTTGTTCTGCTGTCAGATACCTCTGCTGCACTTTTATGGCATTGATTTCTTGGACCTCTTATCTGGTCATGGCATTCTGTGGTATTCAAAATAATCAAAGCTTTATTATTTTAAGATAATTTGATGAGAAATACAAAAATATTAAATAATTCATTATTAAATATTATACAAAATTTATGGAAAAACACTGTTGGTATCCAACAGTGGTAATAGTAAGTAATCCTTTTAAAGTCTGAAGAGGAAAGAGAAAACAGTGGAAAACTCTCTAAAGCAGTACATATTTGAATCTACAGGCTATTTTTTCAGACTAGAAGAAGTGGCAGAGCTTTAGTTGAATAGGAGACTAGGCACTGTGGAGTGAGAGTTCTAGTCACAGGAAGGGGAGGATGGGAACACAGCTCAGTAGAGCACAGCTCCCTCTAGATGGCGTGGCTCCAGGGCACAGCAGAGTCCTGGGGGTCGAGAATGAGAATCCACAGGTTTACCATACAAGGACAGGATGAAGGTAAACTGGGAGAAAATAGAGTCGACAGCTGAGGTAGCACCAGCATGGGGAGACTTCTGACCTTCTTCCTTTGATGCTCTAGTTTCAAGCAAGACTGCCACATAGTTGGTCAGAGATTCTGTTATAAATCTTATACACATTTCTTGTTTCCTGGAAGTTTTGTTTTCTTTTTGTTGCTGTTGTTGTTATTGTTTTGAGAAATTTTCATTCTGATTCAAAGCTAAACAATTTAGTAGTCGTCCTGAGCAGGAATAAGCTTTAATTTGGGGACTTCAAAATCTGGCTCACTTCATTAATAGATGAATAAACTTGATTAACTTAAATTATCATTGAAACATTTTAGAAACCAGAGTACAATATTTTGGTAGTTGATAGTTTTCACACATTTACAAAAGTAGCACCATTAATTGAAATTCTGTATGTGATGGTCGCAATTAAACTTTCAAGTAGTACTTGAGAGACATAAATAAAACATTTATGATTATATAGCAAAAACCTTAGCTAGTAAAAATACATTATTACATTTTCCAGGTCTTTGAATAATTAAGGATGAACAAAAGGAAACCTGGAGCTTGGGCTGATCAGAGAGGTGTGCTACAGTAATCTCTGCTGACCGGTTTAGAATACAGAGTGACCTGAGAATGGGCAGAACCCCTCTGACTTCTACCCCCATTTATATAGCACATTAAGCCAGAAGTGCAAATGAATGACTCCTCAGCCTTCATGAGTTATAGGAGCTCAGTAATACTTGCTTTGAAGGCAGGAGTCCTGGTGATCACAGATACATCCTGGGCTCTCTTGGTTCCATCTGTTCTGCTCGTGCTGTGTTGTTGACATGCACACAGGTGAATATGTGTAGTGTTAGGCTGAAGTGCCACTGTGACAGAGGGCCTCAACGCTGTCTTCTCTGAATCAGTTTTGGCCTCGGGTTATCTGATTAATGTGGAGTAGGAGGAGGGGATAAGAGTCACACTCTCCTGAGAGCATCATTGAGGGTAGAGGTGGAATGAAGACCCAATCTATCATACTTAGCAAGGGGACCAACTGTGCAAGAAGACCTAGGCACAGTGTCACCAGAAGCAAGTGGGGCGGTAGTTATGGCAGCGCTGGACCTCCCTGCTCAGAATAGGAGGTGAACATTTGGCTTTGCAGGTGAACAGATTAGAAATCATGTCCAGGTGAGGATGATATTCCCTGAGCAGACTTTGTGCTAAGGGGAGCCTCTTTTCAGTATAGGGCAGTGCAGCTGTTGGCCACCAGAGGCACAGAATAGCTTTGGGCAGAGAATGTTCTGCTGCACAGGCCTGGAAAACAGTGGGTCTGGCAGGGATGCAGTTGCTTGCAGAGCAGTCTCCCATTCCCAAGGAATTTATTTAATTGAAACAACCTCATAAGTATTTGTGTTTGTGATGCCTAATTGTCAGCTAGAGCCCACGGATCAATAGAGACCACTGTGAGCAAGGCCTCCCTACTCTGTGGACAGACCTGGGAACAGCTGAATCATAGACGTCAGCAGAGAGCAGCCCCTGTGAAAACTAACTTGATGTCAGACGCATGGACAGGCAGGCCTTGAGGGCGAGAGAAAGGTGCTTAAGGTCAACCATTAGTGGAAGTATAAAAATGTTTGGGAGACGATACAAAACTGGCTGAGAAGGTGGCATTGGAAGTGCAAGGCTGGTAGTGGAATGGCCTCCACAAGCAATGCGGGCCCACCTGGGAATAACTGGGACGTGGAAAAGTGTGGCCTTGGGGTTCCTCACACACAGCTGTGCAACAGGGCCCTCGCTGCTCATCCTCTCTGCACACCATGGGAGACCACCTGCTGGACCGCACAGGGAGGGGCTTGCAGGTGCTGTGTGCATTTGGCTGTGGCTTTGCCTTGTGACCAGTGTGTGGAAAGACCTGAAGATCTCCCCGCACCCCCCCCCCTTGCTGGCCAGTTAGAGGATTGGAAATGCTGCTGTTTTATTGTAAAACTGTTAAATGCTGAGATAAAAATCATTTGTATAGTCAACATATTTGGTCAGTAGCATTAAATAAAAGGAAGCTCTTTCTAAAAATCCTAAGAGGATAAAAAGCTTTTCATATAGTGACAGAGATAGACAATGATTTCAAACTGTATTCTAGCAATAAGGGAGGGATTTGGCATCTTTATATGTTGTTTATGAAAATTTAAAACCTGTGGTCCCTTAACAGACAGAAGCTGGGACAGTAAAGTCCCTCATGGATTGTGGAGAGGGATGTTAAGAGGACACAGGATTCTTGATGAAGGCACAGCAGTTGGTGTACTTCACCTCCTGTTTCCCAAGTCTCATTTCTCTGTCTCAGTGGATATGTATTTAGGTATGTAGATAAATGACCACAAATCCTATTATTTGAAAGTGAGGACAGGACAAAATGTGTTCCCAGTATTCATGTGCATCTGACATTAGATGTGCTCTCAACGAGTTCTGATTCTGCACTTGTCCCAAGGTGAGGTTAGGCCCAGTGGCATCCTGTGTATGCAGCTCCATGTGCACACTGCAGAGGGGCTCACAGTTTCTCTCCTAAAGCCAGATGCATCCAAAGACTTCTTCGCAGAAAGAGGATGCTAGTAGGAAGAGTAGGGAAGGAAAAATCACAACAGGATCATCAGATACTTATTTATTTATGTATTTTAGTATAGAGTCTACAAGGTATATAAGGTCTCACTACTAGACCAGACTCATAGTGATCTGCCTGTGTTCAGCCTCCGAAGAGCTGGGCTTACAGGCTTGTGCTGCCATGCTCAGTCTCAATCACTGGCTCAGTGTGCTCTGGGGGTGGGGCCGGAACAGGCTAGGGATCAAACCCTGGTCACTGTGTCTGCCTAAGTAGGTGCTTTAATCCGCTGAGCTATTTGACCAGCCCAAGATAAGTTATGCATTTATTAAAACTACTCACTGTGTACTTGAGAATCCAAAATTCTAAATTATTTTGGTAATATTTAAAATATACTGTGATAAGATGTATTATTTAGAGTAATAAAAATAAATGTTAAATATAAGTACTTTTAAATTATCCTCTAATAATTACTCTCAAATTCAACATCTTTTCCCTGTAGATGCAAAATGAGAAGTCATTGCAATTGTGTATTTTTATATTACGTGGTGTATACATCAATTTCCCTAATATGTACCATTTTCATACACACCATCAAATATGTACATTATTTGCTTTATAGTCTTCAAAATTTATTCATAACATTTCTAAAGAAACTATTTTTTATTAAATCATGCTATTTATGATAATTGAGAGTATATCATTTAAAAAATTTTTTTTGCATGGAATATTTCTAACTTAGCAGAGCTGACAATTTCTGTTTCTACACATTTGAGCATGTTGGCTTGGCATGGGAACTCACACTGCTAATTTAAGAAGTTAGCAGTGTTTTCCTACTCTGACAAGCCCATTCTGGGTTGTTTAACTAAAAGTTGTTTGTGTGTCATCAGTAGAGAAAATATATACCATAACTGATTAATGGAATCTAATAAATTCATTTTTAATTATATTTTACATGTTTACTTCTGGGATAAATCAGAACATGGCAACTCATACTAGATGGAATATAAATTTGTAACATTGATTTTTACTTTGTTTTCTTGAAAATACAATGTACTTTGGCCTCTGAGGTTCATCACTTACATTTTCATATAATTAAAGTTTTGATATTTTAATACAGGTTAATAAAAATAATGTGCTCTGTGTTTTATGACTTGAATAATGAGGGACAGTCTGAATAGTAGCAGGTGTGTTTTGCAAAAGCTTGTGTTTTCATACTTTGTTTCCTTAGTGACCGTGATTCTGCCTTTCTTGTAGGTGAAGGAGTGGCTCTGTTTAAACTGTCAGATGCGAAGAGCTCTAGGGGGGGAGTTAGCTCCTATGCCACCATCACCCCAGCCCAAGCCCAAGACCACCTCTGTGATGCTCCCAGCAGCTGTGAGCAAACCCACCCCACAGGCCCCGCAGGCCTCCCCAAAGAAGGATCTCGCAGCCAAGCAGGATGCTGCCACAGCCCCTGAGTCCAGGAAGCCCCCGCCACTTGTGAAGCAGCCGACCCTGCACGGTCCTCCACCCTCCCCGGCCATGCAGACTCCTGTGACAGAGCCTTCCTTGAAGCCAGGACCCTCACCCGAACAGGCCAAGGCCCCCACCACTGACCACAAACCAAAGCAGCCCCTGACAGGAAGGCCCACTGCAGAGGCTGAGTCTGCTGTGCCAGAAGCAGGCAAGCCTGACCTCTCTGACTCCCAGATCCAGCCAGAGGATCTAGAGAAGACAACTCCAACTAGGATGGACTCTGCCAAGCCCTCCCAAAGCTTCCCACCAACAGGAGAGAAAGTTACCCCACTGGACTCCAAAGCCATGCCTCGGCCTGTGTCGGATTCAAAGATCCTCTCACATCCTGGGCTCAGCTCAGAGAGCAGAGATCCAAAGAAAGTTGATCCTGTTCAAAAGAAGGAGGAACCCAAGAAAGCACAAACCAAAATGAGCCCCAAACCAGATGCCAAGCCCATGCCAAAAGGGTCACCAACACCCCCTAGCCCAAGACCTCCCACTGGCCAAACTGCACCCCCACCACTGCAGGCTTCAAAGCCTCAGGAGCAATCTAGACGTTTCAGTCTCAGTCTAGGAAGTATCACCGACACCCCGAAATCCCAGCCCACAACTCCTCAAGACACTGTGACTGGGAAGCTCTTTGGGTTTGGGGCATCCATCTTCAGCCAGGCATCAAATCTAATTTCCACAGCAGGCCAGCCTGGATCTCATTCCCAAGATGGCCCAGCAGCCTCAGCTAAACAAACTGTTCCCCCATCACAGCCTCCTGCTTCTCAGGGGCCCCCTAAACCCACAGGACAGGCACCATCAGCACCTGTGAAGGTTGCCCTTGTGAAAAAGGAAACAAAAGCTCCAGTAGCTGAGAAGGTGGAGGCCAAGCCTGAAGCAACTCCTGCAAGGAAAAGACCAGAAGCAGATAAGAAGCCACCCCCTGCCAAAGACAGCAGACCTCTAGCATCTGAGCCTGAGCAGGCTGCACAGCTCCCCACACTGGGGAAAATCCCCCAGCCCACACCGGTCTGTCCACTCTGCAAAACTGAGCTCAATGTAGGTTCTCAGGGTCCTCCTAACTTCAGCACTTGCACGGAATGCAAGAGTCAGGTGTGCAACCTGTGTGGATTTAACCCTACACCCCACTTGGCTGAGGTAAGCAACACACTTATTGAATGTTATTATGCTGTTCAATGCAAGGTATTTGGGGGCCACATTTTAAAGCAAAATACATTCCTGGGAAAGCAAAGATTGATATGGGTATCTTTGAAGTTGTAATTGTTTATTTCATGCTTCTTTTCTTAGTAAGAGTTTATGTTATATTACCTCTCTGGGTTAATGCACCACAAGCAAGAAAGAGGAATAAACTGATGAATTAAAAGTAACAATGATTTAAAGACCCTTCACTTGGAAGAAATATTTGGTTTTCATGTGCAACTTCAAATAAGAGTTGTATATTCTGTACCCTTTTTCTCTGATATATTAGTTCTGATAGTCTCTAATGTATTTTTTAAAAGAGGTTTAGTTGGTTGCAGATCCATAAGCATATGAAATCTCTTATACACAATCATTAAAAACTTTGTGTAAATTAGTGGTCCATTTGCCTAGGAGAAAATAGTGCTTCAAGTATATTATATGTGGGCCTTTATAGTTTTCTTTGAAGTATTATCTAGCATCAGAAGAACACTTTACTAAGATCTGTGGAGTGGGGAAAACCACATGTATTTTTGTGATTAATGTGCAGAAATGTTGCATGGGATGGTGAGAATGCTTTCCTCACAGTGTAAATGACCAAGAAGTAGATGATGAATCTCTACCTAGTACTATAGTTCTACAAGAAGGAACCTATAAGTATTAACATACTCAGATTACTAGACATTTTGGATCAGAAACTTGGCATGTAAATGACTACTGCTGCCTTATATAAGTAACAACAGTGTTTTCATAAGCATTTTGTTTATTAATTTAAGATGATTGTTTATTGCTTTTAGACAGATTAAAAATATTTAAGGACTATTTTACCCCACTATTTATGATTTTGTAATTCATTGATATGGGAAAGTTGAGTAGGTTATAGTGTTAGAAAAAAGATGATTGTTTTTGTAATGTTTGTGCATTAAATATTTTTAAAGAGCAAACCATAGACAATTTTTATTTTTTACTTAGACATACATTAGTTTACTTTGACCTAGTTAATGCCACATGAAAGTGATGTCACTACAGGCATAAGCAGATTTTTCTCTAAGATTCACTTTAAAGGTCAATAAATGTGGTTTCTCTCAGATCTTCATGAGTGGTAACTATTATTATTATCAGCAGTGTTTTGGATTCAATATAATAACAAAACAAAAAAATTAAATTTTCTTTCATATTTTTCGAAGACCAAGTTTTTTATTATTCATTCATGATGAGAAAAATTGTTATTTTCCTGATATGATTACATTATTTTAAATATTTAATAGATTATACATTAACAAGGAGCCTTATGATAGCAACACAGTACAGTTAAATAGTTCTAAAACAAAGTGTACCAGCAAAAACAGAACTTTAATTTGTAAATTTTCTAAAAATTAAAGCAAAAATTGAGTGTAGAGCAATGGGGGGCTATAATTTATAATTGACAAATATATGCATATACATGTGCATGTGTACATACATGTGTGTCTAAGTTGACCATTGTAGTTACTAAAGCTGGCCAGTATTTGTAAAATAAGAGTCCCCTGGGTGGAAAGAGATAGTAGGTCTTCCAGGGGAATCTTTGATTTTCTTTGTGTTGGTAAATTATACTTTGGAGCAAGTAATCTGTGAAGATTTCTTGAATGAAGCAGAGAATTAGTGACAGTGTATGGAATATGAACTAACCCGATGTTCAGACAGTTTGACCGGTGTGACAAAAGTAACAAGTGTCCTCTGCTCACCTCAATTGTGCTACTCTGTGCGTCATTTTCCATGACTGTTAAGGTCTGACCTCAGGCTTCAAGGAAGTGGGAAAATTCATGAAGTCAGTCTATGCTCAAATAGTTCTTATGATGATTACCACATTTGAGGAATGTCAGAGGGATTGGTTGAAAAGAATGGCACAAAGCGTTGGCACATGTGTATGAAAATGCAGTCATCTTTTCCAGGTATAAAATGCATTCCTGTGCACAGGTGCTAATACAGAGGTGGATACACAGCCAACAGATTCTAAAGGCCATTCATAGGCTTTTGGAATGATGGATGTCAGTGTTTCTACAAACGCCTCGCTCCTCATTTCCTGCAGTCAGGAGTTAGGAAAGCATTTCCTCTTTGACTTGTCTTCCTCCTGATTTCTTCATTGTGCTTGTGATAGAGCCCTTGTGACCAGTGTTTTCTGGTGAGGACTGCTGTACTTCATGTGAAGCCTTTCTGCCTGAAGTGCAGAGATGGTGTTCCTGCAGAAAGGACCTGGGGTTTCCATTTGTTCTCTAACCTAGTGTATCTAATTCCATCCTGTGCTCTGCCTCTCTTTTCCTCCTCAGTGGGACAGGATGTCCTTCTATCTCTGGTTGTCAGGGGTTGAACAGTTAGAGCTGGTTTCCTCCTGCTCACCATTCCCATTCTGCCTGTCTCTAGGATTGCTTCCTGGTCCTTGGGTACCATGCCGCACTTCTCTAAGCAGTGCCTGGGCTCCAGCAGGCCTTAGGTGCAGCCATCCTTCTGCCTAAGCCTCACTGTTGAATTGTTTGATGGCTATTTTGCAGAAATGGTGGGGTCATCTCTGAGCAATGGGTGGATCATCTAGGCTTTGATTTCTGCTGACTTGGGCAATACCTGTGTTGGAGGGAGTTTTAAAGGTTGCAGCAGGGTTTTGTACAAGAGCTGGGCTTATGGAATCTGGATATAAACTGAGAAAAACAGGCTGAGTTGACAGTGGATATACCAAGTGAATTTTAATCATTCTGGTTTAGTTCAAATGCAAAAGGAGCCAAAATTACTCATAGTGGATATTCATTTTATTATTTTTGCCACCCAGTTTCTAAAATAACTTCTTTTACTATGAAGAAAAGACAAAATGAAATAATACCTTATGTTTTACTGAGTCCCAGAGTCATAACTTTGTTTCTGTAGCAAGATTACACATGGCCTACATGATGTGGAAATAGAATGTATTTGTCACTAGGAAACAAATAGCCCTTTGGGATGATTAACACCAAGTGGTGTGGCTGAGCTCTCTTTAGCTCGAGTGGCTTCTGCAGTGTGCACCCAGGACTCACAGACGACCTAACTTTGGTGCCTAGCTAGGAAAATACATGTTTTCCCTTTATGTTATGAACATCATTTATACTTTAAAAAGCATACTCACTACTAAAATGCATGTGATAACACATACACATACACACATAAAGACTGAAAGAACTGTCAAAAGTTATTCAGAAGAAAACAATTCTACTAGTACTAATAACGGAGACCAAATATTATGGAGTCTCTGGCACCCCTGCCTTCACATCTGATGACAGTCCTTTTTAATTGGATCATGGTGTAATACAGAATAGTGATGTTTCAGGGTATTAGAACATGTATGTAGCACACCTCTATCATTTTTAGTCTCTGCTTTCCTCTCCCATTTTTGATTGAGTAAATTTTTACTTTTAATTTCTATTTTCTAGATAGTAATCTTCTATTGAAGAGTAGTTAGCAAAACTGTTCTCCCATTCCATAAGTTGTCTCTACCCTATTGTGTCCCTTGCTGTGTACAAGCCTATTAATTTGATGGAATACCGTTTGCTAATTCCTGATATGATTTTCTGTGGACCTGGAGTTCTTTGCCTGTTCCTGTGGCTTCAAGCATTTCCTCTATGTTATCTTCTGCCGTTTCAGAGGTTCTGTATCTAGGTCTTTAATAATTTTGATTTGATTTTAGTACAACGTAAGAGACAGGGTTCTCATTTCAACCTTTTGCACATAGATGCCCAGTTTTCCTAGCAGCATTTGTTAAAGAGGCTGTCCTTTCTCCAAGTGTGCTTTGTCAGCAGTCAGATGGCCATGGGTGCACAGGTTGCTTCTGTGTCTTCTGCTTTACTGCATTGGTCTCCATATCTGTGATGGTGGCAGAACTATGTTATATTTGTTACTCTGGCTCTATGATGCCTCCAGCTTTGCTTTTTGGCTAAAGACTGCTCAGGTATTAGTTCTTATAATTCAAAAGTGAGGGATATCTTTTCATTTTCTAATCCCTTAATTTTCTCTATTTAGAGTTCTGTACTTTTTATTATAGTGGTGTTTGACTTTCTTCATTAGGCTGATGCCTATGTATTTGGTTTTGTTTTAGGATTATTACGAATGGGGTTGTTTCTTGATTTCTCTCTGTGAGTTCATTATTGGTGTAGAGGAATGCTATTGATTTTCTGTGTTGATTTGGTATTGTGCTGATGGCATTTTTTTCTCCTGTATTTTAGGGAAGGGTTACAGTGTGTTCAGGTTCTCATTACTATTATCAGACTCATAGTGATTCTCCTGTTTACAGCCTCCCAAAGAGTTGGGATTACAGGCACATGCCACCATGAGCAGTCCCAATTTTGGTCTCAGCATGCCTCTGGGGGGGGGGGCTGGCATGGCAGGCCCGAGGATCAAACCCTGGCCCCTGTGCCTGCTTGCAGTTGCTTTAATCCGCTGAGCTATTTGGCTGGCTGTCATTTTTTAACTGATATAAGAAAATGTGTAACATGGCCTGCTGAAAAAAATTGGCCATTAAATTTTGGAAGAAGTTTGATGTTTTCAAATTGAGTAGTACTAAATAAATATTGGGATATGGATTTTAAATGAAATTATTTTATTTATACTTAAACAGAAAAGCAATTTTCCCAATAATTCTTGTTTTCCTATCATTCTTATGTAGGCAGATTTCTGCTGTATCTTGTACTTCTGTATCTCAGTCGACATACATTTTCCGATGTGATTAAAACACTTTAATCATTATAGAAAAGAATTAAATATTACTCAGTTTTATGGATTTTTGGTTTATTTT